GTGTGATAATATGAATAAACCCCAAGAAGATCATGCTACATGAAGTAAACCATTTAGTTACCGATTATTTTGTGTGGAGAAACACTTAAGACCTCTCTTAAATCGCAAGTAAACCATACAACGTTATTAAATGTAGTCGCCATGTTGTACAATAGGTCTCCATAATTTTTATTCTCATAACTGATGGTTTATGCCATTGGACCAACATCTCCCTTTTCCCCACCCCTCAGCACTGTCTGCTCTTTGTTCCTGTCAGTATGACTTCTTGAGATTTCATAAAATAAGTGAGGCCAGGCAGTATTTTTTTTTCTGCGTCTAGCTTATTCACAGATCAGAAAACCGACTTAGAGATAAAATGTGACTTGAGGAAGGCCAGGCAGCTCTTGAGGGGTGGAAATCGAATCTGGCCCTCAGGTCTATGCACTTACCCACTGCTCTGTGCTGTCTGCCATGACTTCTAGCACTTCTTCCTCTTCCTGGATTTCTCTAAGCATCCAGCCCGGCCCTTCTGCTTCTTTTGTACCTGCTCATTCCATTATTCAAATGTCAAGATATCTGTGAGCATCTGTGAAGTTCTGGAAATTTCTATGTGCTCAGGGGATCCAATGGCTGTTGTGACCAAAACTGGATTTAGCTAGTTTGTGTGGGACCCTGAGAACTGGAAAGAAAAATCAGAAATTGAATGAGTGATGCCACCAAATGCTTACTTAATGTCTGTCCATGCTCACAGCTCAGGATGAGGACTGTTTTGTTGACTAACAGCTTCGATTTCCAAAATAAAATATCTAGTAGTTGTTTGAACTGTGAAATCCTCATTATGTGAAATGCCAGATGCGAAGCCCCAGCGTGTTACCTTCTCCTGGACAGTAATGCTTCTGAACAGAAAGGGCATCTTACGCAAAGTGAGCATGCAATTAGTCTTGACAAAAGAATTGAAAATGAAATCCTAATTTGTGCTGTGTTTATTGATCTGCACTGCTGTTTTCGCCGCAGCCTTGAAGCTTGTCTCCATCAGCACCTTCTTCCCGGAGACAGCTCTTTTTATGTCCGGCCTGGTCAGCCCTAATTGGAGTCTTGCTGTTGGACTGCCAGAGCTTCAGGATCCTCAGTTCAGCCTCAGTTGAAACAAGGGGACTTTGGAAAATGAATCATGGTGGTTGCTAATATTTTTGTTGGCTTTTATTTTTCCAGAAAGAGCCAATGCCATGGCAACTAGGAAGGGCCACTGCTGAATAGCAAAGGAGGAGACGGTCCTTGCAGGGAGACCAGGTGGTAGGACAAGGTTAGGAGTTGCTTTCTGGTTTTCCCTCCCCTCTGTTTCTAGAATTCACACAGAGTGTTTGGACCCCTGAAAGTGATTATTCTTTTGCTTGGGATGATTTTCCCAGCACACGTATAACGGACCATGTCTCATCATTTAGGTCTCTGCGCAAGCGTTGCATCCTCAAAGAGGCCTTCTCTGGCCATCATATATGAAGCATCTCTACCTTCCTGGGCATTCATACCTTCTCATTTTATTTACTCATGTAATTTGCTATTCTGTCAAACTGCCTCATTTATTTTGTCTCTCCAGCTAGAATATTCCATAAGGCCAGAGACTCAGTTTGGTTTCTGCTGTCTGCTGAGCATAACCGGTGCTTGACAGATGATTGCTTAGTGAATGAATAAGTGAGCAAATTAATGAAGTCCATTATAGAGGCAGCTAATCAGGTGGGCTTTCCTTCTGTTTCAGCCGGCAGATTTTGAGAGTGAAACCCAGAATATCTCTCCAGAAAAGCCTTAGATGAGGCAAGGTTTGAATAAAGTCAAGAGGGATAGGGCTTGGTGGTGAATAAAAGGAGGCTTTTACTGCTTTCCTTAACTTCAGCTGAACATCTTTCCTGAGGCAACATTGCCAAGCCCATTACTTTGGCTATTTTACAAGTCCTCAGAGGGTCTGCAGTGGAAGATCTGCATTGTCAGGAGACTAAACAAATGCAGTTCCCTAATTAGCTTCTGTATGGAAACTGCATTCAGCCCTGAGCCCAGAGCAATTTATCTTGTATGCAGGACAGTGGTGCAGAGAGGAGGAGTAATGGGCCGGCATCGGAAAGGGATGGATTGAGTTTAGGTGTTTAGAAATAACTGCTTTGTCAGATAAATCAGGCAGTGGGGCCATCTGATTAACGATCACAGAATAATTATTTGGTGCTTTAAAGGAAGCCTAGAAATACTGAGAGAACAAAGAATGAGAAACGGAGGGGCAAGATGAGAAAAAGTTTTCTCTTTCTGCATTGTTTCCACCATCTACCTGGAGCCACCCCCACGTAAAAGAGAAGCTGTATTCACACACAGTTGAGTTTCAAAGAGTGTGAAATCTCACTTGAAACTGGCATTAAGATGCATCTTATGCTTAAAAAATTTTTTAATTAAGGTATAATGCATGCAGTAAACTTTGTAAACTGTACTAATCTTAAATGTATGGCTCAATTAATTTTTATCTCTAAAATCACTAGCCAGACAAGACATAAAGCATTTCCAGCTCCCCAGAAGAATTCCTTTTGCCTCTTTCCAGTTAATATCTCCCAGAAGTATCCACTGCCCTGAATTACACCCTCATACACTATGCAGTCTTTTGAGTCTGGTTTATTTTGTTCAGTTGTGAGAACAATGTCTGTGAGACTTATTCATGTTATTATGTTTATTAGCAGTTTATTATTTTTAATTTCTGTGTCATTTTCCATTGTATACCTACACTCAATTTATTTATTTATTCTCTTGCTGATGAATATTTGAATTGTTTCCAATTTTTGGCTATTATAAATACAATTAAAATAAATGTTTCCAATAAATTTTGGAAATATGCTTGGATGTTTTATTGACTCTTCGCAGGTGGCCAGGAGGGTTGGGGATTGGAACTTGAAACCAAAGTCTCTAACACGAAGTTTGAAACAATACTACCCTCTGGTGTCCAGCAGCCCTCCATATAGCAGAAATAACCATAATCTCTGGGTCTTGCACACAGGAAAACAATTTATCTAACCTAGGCAGCCAAAATGTTGACAATTCCTTCCTCCTTATACATGATGAGTCACACAGCAAGAATAACACCTTAATACCTAACATTTATTAAACACACATTGTATCCCAAGCCTGTGCAAAACTCTATCTGGATTATCTCATTCATTCTTATTTACAGCTTACAACATAGGCGCTGTTTTTAGCTCTTTTTTTTTTAAAGATAAGAGACTGTAGAAAAGATCATTCAAAGGCAAAGTACAAAAATTATATAAAATCTTAAATCCTTTAATAATCATAGATCCACACACTAACAATTTAAAATAGATGGAGTGGACAGGGTGTGTTAGGACAGGGTTAGCCATCAAGGAGTCTGTCCCCAGATAAGTCAGGACTTGGGCAAACAGCTCTATGGCACGTGCTCCAGTGTAGCTTCCTCTTTGTAGACTGACTAGCTGTGTAAGTGAGTAGTTTGCAGGCTCAGGGATGTCTGCACATGCGAGTTGGATGCTTCATGAAATTGCCAGTTCCTTGGTTACACACCAAGGTGACTGAATCAGAATTTGGAAGGATGGCTCTCAGGCATCTTGTTTCTAACATGCATCTGAGATGACGTTTATGGGTATCCAGGGGGGGATGTCTCTAGAGCCCCCTCCAGCACTGACTTTTGAAGGACTTCTTCATCATTGTCTCATCTGTCCAACGTGTGGGTGACTGACTGGGCCTTTGAATGCATTGACCAAGATGACTTGCTGTAGCAATGCCTTAATCACTAACTTTACATAAATCTACTTTCATGTATACCATAACCGCTCAGTTCTGTGATGCCTGCTTTTTGTCCAACCTACCCTCTGCGGGAAGACTGGGCTCATTGGGAAAGAAACCGGACCGCAGGCTAGGAGAAAGTCCTTAAGTTCAGGCTTTATTGAGAGAAAAGAGCCTCCGGGCGGGCGAGCCGGGACGAAAAGGAAAAAATGGCCGCGCCGCTCAGAGGGGCAGGGTTGTTTTATAGGGAACTGAAGGGCTGGGGGGTGGGGAAGCTGAAAGCTGAGGTGGTGGGCAACTGTTGGTCAGTTTGAACTGCTGGGCGGGAAGCTGGGCAGCGGGGAGGGCTAGGGCCGGTATGTAAAGTGAGAGATAAGGGAGCCTCTTTGTGGGGGAGGGAAAGAGAGAGAGAGAGAGCTTTCGCGGTAGGGGCAGAGTTTTCCAAACACTTTTATTTGCACAAAAGTCAAGACTCGCACAATGCTTAAGAGTTTGGGTCATGTGTTTTGGCTTTGGAAATTTCTCTTTTTAATTTTCAGTGATGGAGATTGGGTGAGAGGAGCAAAATTTCCTTTAGAACCTAATTTTTTACTTTCAAAGCTCAAGACTCATTATGACCTAGTTTTTCAGGGATCAGTAATGCTACAGTGTTTACATTTCATAGAATGCCCATGTTGCAGATGAAAACATGCTCCTTTCCTTGCTGCTGTTCTATTTGGAGGGTATTTTATAAAAGCATCGCTGGTGAGTAACATATCCTTATCCATATTCAAAATTTCTAGGAAGTTATCCACAAATGGCTTCCAGTAATTTAAAGCAATTTAATATACTGTAAGCAAAAACTCCTTTTCTCATTTGTATTCTGAAATGAGAGAAGTATCACCTACATATTTTATTAACAGGACTCTCAACTGTGTCTCCAGAAAGACCAACGGCTACTGAAGGATCTTGCCCTTGGTCCAAGGGATTTCAGGGGAGGCATCTGTCTTCCAGGTGTATCATTAAGGTCAGGAAGGTGTGTCTGGATGGGTTGCAGGGAATGGTCCTCAGCTACTCCAGGCTTCCTTAGTTCCAGTCTGGGGAGCTGGAAAGGGGTCAATCTTGTGCAAGGTGTGTGGAGACGCGAATGGCAACATCAGAGGAGCTGGTGCTTGAGTGGAAGAGAAAATTGAACAGCCTGGGTTTGGGTTCTGGTCCCAGCACATACTGACTGCACACCCTTGGGCAAGTTAGCTAACCTTTTTGTGCACGCACTGATTTGTAAAATTTGCATGATGATAATACAGCATCAGCCTCCACAGGGTCACTGTGTGCACTCCACGGGAATCTGCACGAAGCTGCATGCTCGGTGTCAGCCAGCAGTCACTTTTCCTACTGTATCTGGGGCTGCAGACCCTGGTTCTCTTTCCTAGGGGACCATATGAGTGTTCAGCCGTGACGTTTTTACAATGTACAAATAAGTTGCTGATTCGTTCAGCTTCAGTTTACACTTGGACTTTGCTTTCTTTCTTTCTTTTTTTTTTTTGTTTTTGAGACAGCGTTTTGCTCTGTTGACCAGGCTGGAGTGCAGTTGCACAATCACAGCTCATTGCAGCCTTGAACTACTGAGCTCAAGCAATTCTCCCAACTCAGTCTCCCAAGTAATCATTACTACAGGCACATGCCATCATGCCAGGCTAATTTTTCAATTTTTTTTTGTAGGAACAGAGTCTCGCTATGTTATTTAGGCTTGGATAGTCTTCATATTAACAACTCTCGGAGCAGGAAAGTTGGAGTGGGTATTTCACAGCATGTTGATAAGCTGAACTGTATGACTTAGATGCATGGATTAGAGTGGGGGCTTGGTGGAATAAAGCCTCTCCAGACAGAATACTCATCTCTCCAACTAGCCTGTGGGTACCACATTCCACCATTGCGATGTGTGAACGTGTGCGGCGGCAGGTGGCAGTTGTTCTGATGAAGCCCAGCACTACCTGGCAGAATCCTGGGAGAAAAAGATGCACGTGTCGTATGGGAAAAATGTGCAGCAACATGGGTGCCATGGAGCTGGCTGGAGCCAGTGAACCAGGAAGGGCAGCCAGGCCTGCCGAGACGTGTCACTCACGGCTGCGGCCCTTCCAGCCCACATGCTCCAGCATGCAGGTGCCTGCTAACCATGTGACTGCAGAGGAGAGACCCTCCAGCAGGTCCTTCCAACACTCCTCGGACCTGAAGGATTCTTTTTTCTCTCTCACACTCAGCCTATCTCCTCTAAATTTCAGCATAGCCAAAGCTCTCCAGTATTTAAACATAGAATGTCTTGGGACTGGGCCTGTGCTACAGTTACTGCCATTCCTACTGCTTGCCCCTCCCAGCTTCACTTTTCCATTCCTGCTGATCCCTCTGGGAACTTAACTGGGCTGCCTTTGGGAAGATACGAGTTTTTCCAGGGAAACTTGCCTGCTGCTCCAGGAATGTAGCATTTCTTTGGACTTCTGCAGCCTCCCGCATTTTCCATCCATGCTTCCCACATCGGTGTTTCTTTAAACCAATTATTAGAAAATAGTTATAGATCAGAGCAGCTGCAAAACAGGTGCAGAGAGTTATACCCAGCTTCCGCCTATGTTAATATTTTACATAACTGTAGTGCGTTATGAAAACCAGGAACTTGGTATTGGCACAATATGCTTAACTACTAGATTTTGCTGCACAAATAAGTTGCTGATTTGTTCAGTTTTTTTGTTTACACTTGAATTTTTTTTTGTAATTTTAATTTTAGAGACAGGGTCTTGCTCTGTTGCCCAGACTGGAGTGCAGGTGCAGAATCACAACTCATTGCCACCTTGAACTCCTGGACTCAATCGATTGACCTGGTCTACTCAGATTTCACCAGTTTTTACACGGACTCCTTTCTTTGTGTTTTGTGCACAGTTCTGTTGTGTCACCTGTATGGAGATTTGTATAGACACCACCACAATCAAGATACAGAATTGTTTCCTCACCATAAGGAACCCCCTCCCCATTCTGTCTGTCTTAATTTCCTTTTTACCCGTCTGACTTCTCCAGCAGGTGGTCAGCCTGCTCTGATCAAGATTCTGCTCACTGCCGAACCTTCTAGGACACAGAGTAGATGCTCAGAATATAGGAGTTGAACAACGAGGAAATGAATCCGGGTCTTTCCAGATGAACTGTGCATGCCCAGCCCTGTGCTGTGGGGGCTTATGGGAGAGTGAGATGTGGTTTCCTGCCCTCTGATGGTGACTGAGGACCTAGGTCTCTTGCAGGGAGGAGACTGCAGTTCCAAGCCCGTGACTTCCAGCGGCGAACAGGTGAGCCCAAAGCCCGCGGTGCAAGACGAGCCATTTTCTGCTTCTCATGTTTGGTTTTAGGACACCCATGATGGGCATCTTGTAAGGGACATAGTTGGGGTTCCTGAGATCTTCCCTCCTGTCCATAAGCCTGACTACACTCAGAGCCCGGCACCCACCTCCCAGCCCCAGGAAAGTCCAAAGCCATTTCTACCGCTCGGATAAAACGTTATTTTTGTTGTCTTTTGACAAAAAAACACTAGCTGAGGCACTTCTTAAGCAGTTGTGCGGGGTCTTTTTAAAAGATTAATCCGTGCTCACAGTTTTCCCAGCCAAACTGTTGAGAGTGGAGAAGCCCCTCTCTCTTCACCACCATCTCTAGCTCCACATTTTCAAGGTGTCTTTGGATTTGTATCCTGCTTGGCCGCATTGAAGAGTTTAAAAAACAGACCCGGGAGGAACATTGCGTTTTGAGGCTTTTGTTTTGCTTTTGCTCGTTTTCTTCCTGTTTTGTTTACTTGTTTGCAAACTCGCATAGTTATTGGAAGAAATTTTCCGAGCACACATCATGTAGACAAGATTAATTTTGTTCCCCAATCAAATCTATTTCTGTGACTAAAAAAAAAAAATAGCTGAGGTTTAAAAGTGTCTGGTGAATAAAATTAATTGCATCAACTAAATAAAATGCATTCTGTCCAATGCATATAGATGTTCTGTCCACAAGACAAATGGACTCTATAGTAGAAGTCTCTCTGTGGGTGAAATGCATAATAATGTAATTACTTTGCCAACAAAATGCTAACTTGCTTTAATCATTCTGTTCACAGTATAATGTAAAGTGATTTAGTGAGTAAAATGAATCCACTACAAATTGTTTTATGGTCATAATGCAGCCCTTTGGTGGAATGTAAATTGATGATAATAATTTTATGGGCAAATGATTTTTTCAATTAAAATGTCTTTTTACAGACAGAATGGGAGTGTTACAAATGGCTCCCAATAACCGTGTGCCCAGTCACAGGCAGAAGGGGCTGTCACCTGCATTAACCACGCCTCAATTGAAAAGACTTAAAAGCTGAAAAGGTGATTTATTTTCATCAAAGCTGTAATTTCGTTCCCTCCCACTTGAGAAGTATTTTCTTCCTGCCTTCACTGACCCAATAACAAAAATTAAATCTAGCGACTAATTCACCAATCAGCAGCAGCCACGTTTCCTTCCTGTGCCTTCATTTACTACAGCTGTATTGTTCATTAGTAAGCTTTCAAACCAGGGCAGTTGTTTCTGCTATCTAACGTGGGCCCCATTATCTCTAGTGCAATAATTACTGCACCCATGAAAATGAAATAAATTATTATAGTGGCTTTGAATTTGAAGGCTGTGATGAAGGAAATTATGTTTTTATCCAGGCTAATTGTCATAATTTCTTTTTAGAAAGGTGTAATTTCTGACCAGTTATAACTTCGCTGTTTCAACTTCCTAGGTGTTTGGAAACAGTCCCTTCTACAGTGAGTTTGCCTGGGTAGGAGGAAGACTTGTACTCTTAAGAAACCCCATTTGCTCTTCATCAGGCTGGTCACATGAGTGAAGGGCTCTGGGTGCTCCCCTCTGCCCTTGTCCCCTCCAGAAAGGTTGGAAACTTGGTCACCACTGTCCTTTTCTCCTTAAGCAAGGCAGCTTCATTGCTGTCCTTGTTGAGAGTTCCACGTTCTTTCCAATTTCCTTTTCTGGAGGCCACACCCGCTGTGAATGAAGCAAATGTCTTTTAAGGCTGCACAGAGAAGAGGTCATGTCAGAAATGGTGAGTAGTTAGTTAGGTCAAAGGTGGCAGAATGGTGAGTGAGGGCAGAGACTAAGTCACTAGAGCTGGGCTGGGAAGAAGCTGTCTCTGCTTCTTCCTGGCTGCGTGATCTTGAGCCATTCACTCTGCCACTCTTTTTTCTTTCTTTCTTTTGAGACAGCCTTCTCTGTCGCCCAGGCTAGAGTGCAGTGGCACAATCTGGGCTCACTGAACCTCTGCCTCCTGGGGTCAAGCAGTTCTGTTCCCTCAGCCTCCTGAGAGCTGGGATTGTAGGCACTCACCACTACACCCAGCTAATTTTGTGTGTGTGTGTGTATTTTTAGTAAGGATGGGGTTTCACCATGTTGGACAGGCTGGTCTCGAATTCCTGGCCTCTGGAGATCCACCTGCCTTGGCCTCCCAAACTGCTGGGATTACAGGCATGAGCCACCATGCCTGGCCCATTCACTCTGCTATTCTGAGCCTGCCTTTCTGTGTCTTACAGAGTAGGGATAAAATAGTACCTACTTGTAGATTATGGATAAGATTGAATGAGACAATGTCGAGAAAGCACTCACATACTGCCATACACAGTAAGTGATGGCTGTTATTGTCACTGCAGTCACTACCACTGAGCTAGGCCCTGGAAATTATTTGATGGGGAAATAACATAAGGTATATAAAGAATAGCCCTCCTCTCAGGAAGCATAATCTAGATGGGGACTTACTGATTGGGTGAAGTGAAAGAATCAGATGTTCTTTGTCCTCTTCTGTTTTATGTGGAATCTCAACTTCCTGTGTTTTGGTGACTCACTGGAGTTTCTGACTGCACTCGCAGCCTTGAATTTTCTTCTTCTCTTCTGGGCAGTCAGAGTCCCTCAAAGGTGATTGCTCACCCAAAAGCATTGTTCATAAGCATGGGAAGAACGCCAGGGCATTGCTCAAGGTATTGTCACCTTGGGCTCCTGAAGTCTGAGACGAGTTTTCCTCTTAGATAATTAGTGAGCATCCCCTTTCTCCATTCTGGTTCACAGTTGTTCAAATTCAAGATCAGAGGCAGGGCTGCTGCAGACCCAGGGGCTCCTTCTGAAGTCAGCTCGGCAGCTTCCATCTAAAGACTTTCTTTGCACAAGATAGCAGGGCTGGTGGAGCTGGGTGGGGCAGGCAGCAGGCATTCTTGTCTTCCTGTAAAAGCACATGATGGGTGAGAAGGAGCTACTCTTCTCCTCTCAGTTCAATGAGCCAAGCTTTGTTTCTCTGGCGGCCATGATGACTTCCAGCAAGGGGACATAACCAGTGTGTTTACTGCGAGACGGTGGCTTGCTGTGCTGACCAAAAAATGAGCCACCCACGGGTGGGACTACCCTGGACACCCAGGGCCTAGCGCAGGACTGAGAAGGGGCTTGGGCAGGTACTGTGTCCATCTGCAAACAGGCCCATTTGGCAGAAACTTAAAGAAAGATAAGCAGAGAGGAGATTACTGTCTTCTCTTTGGCTCCCTAGGACCTGTCCCATCTCCCCTTTCATTAGTTTAGGTGATCAGACCTACGGTCACCTCCACAAACAATGGCCTCAGGTGGGAGGCCAGGAGGTGGCCAGGGAGCTGAGTGGACCCAGGGAAAGTGGTTACCAACATGCTTATATTTACTCCTCACAACAGCCCTATGAGGTAGGTACTGCTATCAGCCAGAGCTTACGCCGTTAGTGAGCCTGAGAGCCCAGGTTTGGACTGACTTCAGAGGCTTCGTTCTCTCTCCCACGTTGCAGCTCCTAATGAGATAGGTTAGAATGGAAATCAGCCATCCACCCACATACTTCTTCTTCAATCACTGCACATTTCTCAGGAAACTGTTACTCATCAGGGCAGATGGGTACAAAGAGAAGCAGGACAGAGTCACAGACATGAGAAACTCAAAGATGGCAGGAAGAGGGAGGCATCCCAGAGAAATGAGTAACTTTAGTGTGGAATTTCTTTTGAAGCCTGCTTCTCTTAAGGAAGATGGTTTTTATTTTATTTTTTTTTTTTATTGAATTTTAGGTTTTGGGGTACATGAGCAGAGCATGCAAGACAGTTGCGTAGGTACACACATGGCAGTGTGCTTTGCTTTTCTTCTCCCCTTCACCCACATTTGGCATTTCTCCCCAGGCTATCGCTCCCCACCTCCCCCTCCCACTGGCCCTCCCCTTTTCCCCCCAATAGACCCCAGTGTTTAGTACTCCCCTTTCTGTGTCCATGTGTTCTCATTTTTCATCACCCGCCTATGAGTGAGAATATGCGGTGTTTCATTTTCTGTTCTTGTGTCAGTTTGCTGAGGATGACGTTCTCCAGATTCATCCATGTCCCTATAAACGACACAAACTCATCATTTCTGATTGCTGCATAATATTCCATGGTGTATATGTGCCACATTTTTCCAATCCAGTC